AGCACCTGTTAAGATCTGTGGGAACATCTGGATGTTTGAGACCGTAACTCTCACTTAGAAGCATAGGGAGTTTACCTTTTGGGTGGTGGAAATATGAAGGGGAAAACGTCATAAAGACTATATAGCAAGGGCCCGGTGTTGTGGCCTAGCAGCTAAAGTCCTCGCCTTGAACACACCTGGATCCCATATGGGCACCGGTTCTAATCCCGGTGGCTCCACTTCTCATCCAGCTCCCTGCTTGTGGCCTGGGAAAATAGTAGAAGATGGTCCAAAACCTGGGGACCCTGCACTCACACAGGAGACCTGGAAGAAGCTCCTGGCTCCTGACTTCAGATTGGTGCAGCTCAGGCTGTTGCTGCCACTTGAGGAGTAAGCCAGCAGGTGGAAGATCTTTCTCTCTGTATCTCATTCTCTCTACATAGCTGCCTTTCCAATAAAGACAAATAAATAAATAACCTTCCAAGCCGGCATGGTAAAGTAGTAGCTTAATCCTCTGCCTGTAGCACAGGAATCCTGCAGGGATGCCGGTTCTTATCCCAGCTGCTCCCTGTCTGTGCCAGCTCTCTGCGTATAACCTGGGAAAGCAGCAAAGGATGGCTCAGGTCTTTGGGCTTTTGTACCCATGTGGAAGATCCAGAAGAAACTCCTGGCTCCTGGTTTTGGACTGGCCCACTCAGGCCACTGTGACCATTTGGCTAGTGAACCAGAAGATGAAAGATCTCTGTCTCTCTCTCTGTCTCTCTTTCTGTCTGTGTAACTCTGCTTTCCAAATAAAAACAAGTAAGTCCTTAAAAAAAATTAAGGAAGGAATCCTTCAAACAGGTGTGGGGTGATGTCATTTGGGTTTTGATTTGTGTTTCCCTGTTATTTATTTATTTAAAAGAGAAAGAGTGCATCTCCATCTGTTGGTTCACTCCCCAAATCATTTCAATAGCAGGGCTGGGTCAAGCCAATTTCTTTTATTATTACTATTAAATTTATTTATTTTGATGATTTTTACATTGTGAGAAGGATGTATGCCCACATGGACCACTGATTAGGTATGGGAAAAAGTGGGTGAGGCAATTGCTTCCTATTATTTTTTCCTTCCTGTATCTAGAGAAAGAGGGGAGGGAAGGGAAGAGGGCCTCTCCAAGCAGCCCAACCGCATTAGTACTCGGGGAGGGGGACAGCCATTCGATGTCACCCTAGGGTCCCCAATGTGGTACCCCAAGGGTACTGCTTTAGTTGTTTTGATCTGAGATGCTGTTAATTTCGTTTCTCCAAGATTGAGAAAATCCTTCTAAGTTCCATTGGTTGGTGTAGTCCACCTCGGAGTCTCCATTTGCCCAGGCACTTGCTATCAAAGCTTGGCTAGGAGAGTTGTCCAATTTGTTCTGTCCTCCATTTTCTGCCATGGTACTAAATGTCCTCTGTGGGTCTCAGCGAGCTGTCATGTTGCCCATGTGCATCTGGGCATGCCGTCCACTGCACAGGCTTCAGCAACTGAGGAGGTTAGGTCAATTTTTATATCCAGGATTTCTATCCTGGTCTCCAAAGGTTGGCAAGTGTCCAAGCACTTGGGCCATCTTCAAAGGCCTTCTCAGGCACATTTACAGGAAGCTGTCCCAAAAGTGGCAGTGTCTGGCTGGAACCAGCACCCCGGTGTAGCATGCTGGAAATATAAGCTGTGGCTTTTACCCTCTTTTGGGGTAAAAAAGAAATCAGATTTTTTTGTTTTGCTATGCTTTTTAGGTCTGTATACTTCTGTCAGTTTGTTTTACTATTGATTTCAGTTGCTTATACTCTCATATTTGTTTCTGTGTAACTTGTCAAACCAAAAATAGCAAAGCTGTTTAAGGATCCAATAGAAGATGAATAGATGAAGATAAACGGTTATCTGTGTACATGAAAATACTGTACAGCCTTTAAAGTGAGAGATTCTGCCTTTGCAACAATGTGGATGGTATTGGATGGCCTTTTGTTCCTTGGAGAGGACACAGAAAGACAAATGCTGTATGATCCCACTTAATATGTGGCATTAAAGAATCAATCTCATAGGAACAAGGAGAAAGCTGGTTACTAGGGACTGGGCCAGAAGCGGGGTAGGGCTGGAGAAAGGAGAGATGTTGATCAAACTGTATAAAGAGAAAGATATTCTGGTGATCTAGTGCACTGCACGGTGTCAACAGTCAGTGATAATCTTTGTTAACATCTTGGAATTACTGAAAGAGCCTGTGTTTAATGATCTAACCACAAGGAATGGTAAACGGTGAGGGTCGTGATGGACATGGGAATTTTCTTAATTAGTATTTCTACCATATGTATATGGATTAAAACATACTGTACTGTATAAATTCACACAATTAATATTATATACTAATATATATATATAATCAGCTATATATTATATATAATCAGTTGGTAATTTTTAGGGGCTGGTGCTATGACATGGCAGGTAAAGTCACTGCCTGTGATACTGGCATTCTATATGGGTGTTTGATTATGTCCTGGCTGCTCCACTTTCAATCCAGCTAGGGCGTGGGAAAGCAGCAGAGCACGGCCACGTGCTCGGGCCCCTGTATCCGCGTGATGCTCTAGAGTAGCTGGCTCCTGCATCAAGTTCAGTTTGACACGGCTTTAAGTTTATTGCCTTGAAATTCATTCAGAGCCTGGAAGTGTGTGAAGAGGAAACCAGGAAGATGACTTCCAAGAAAAGATCAGGACGCTCTCTGCTTCGATGTAGCGAAGAACCGTTCAGGCATATTAGTTTGTGCATGTGGAGTGTGGTAGGTAGCGAAATTGGCATTTTCCAGGCCCATTAGGATCTCAGATGGGTTGAGTTTTTACCACGTGCTGGTCGATTGGGCAGTGGTGCACGGCCACAGGCATTGCAGTAAGGTATGTATCTAAGGCATGTGCCCTTTTAAGATTTCTTTGAAAGGCAGAGCAATAGAAAGATGAACACACACACACACACACACACACACGCACAGCGGGGAGGGGGGAGTTGGGGTAGAAGCCGTGAGTCTGGAACTCCACCCTGGTCTCCCACGTGAGGAACTGGAGCCATCTTCTACTGTCTTCCTGGGTGCCTTAGCTGAATCCAAAGCAAGGCAGCCTGGCCCAACTCTGTGCTCCAGTGTGAGATGCCAGCATCACAGTGGGAACTTGACCTGCTCTGCCACAACACAGACCCATCCATATGTGACTGTAAATCTCACTCTGGATAGCTCGTATAAGCATTCTACATTTTTGTTGTTGTTAGAAAAGAGGAATAATATGTATTTGGGACATAGTAAATCCTAAGTTTCAGCCAATGATGACTTTACAAAATCTGTTTTTTAATAAAGGATAATATGGGGCCCAGTGCAGTGGCACAGTGGTTAAAGTCCTTCGCCTTGCACGCCCCAGGATCCCATATGGGTGCCAGTTCTAATCCTGGCAGCCCTGCTTCCCATCCAGATCCCTGTCTGTGGCCTGGGAAAGCAGTCGAGGACAGCCCAAAGCCTTGGGGCCCTGCACCCTTGTGGGAGACCTGGAAGAAGTTCCTGGATCCTGGCTTTAGATCGGCATAGCATCGGCCGTTGCGGTCACTTGGGGAGTGAATCATCGGACGGAAGATCTTCCTTTGTGTCTCTTCTCCTCTCTATATATCTGACTTTCCAATAAATAAATACATCTTAAAAAAGGAAAATAACAGAAAATATTTCAAGTGTGCCAGATGTTGCAGTCTCATTTCACCTTGAACATTTTTGTTGTGTCCAGATTTTGAGATCCCCAGAAATCCGCAGGAGTCTGAAGTCGATCCAAGTGCACAAGGATGGTTTATCCAAGCTCAGCACATCCGAGCCTGGGGTCTTGGTTGAGAGCAGGCAGCTGGCTGACCAACCAGCCTACCAGTCGGCTGAGTCTAACACCCCTTACTGGGGGTGTGGCTCAGAGCAGCACATTCATAGGGTTTTTATAGGGGCAGTCCACAATAGCTTGAAAAGGGGCAACTCACAATAGCCTGCAAGGTGAGGGGAAATACCACACATTCCCTACCTACCTGCCCCCAGCAGCTAAGGTAAGCATCCACTTAATTACTTGGAACCACCTGTGAGATAACCAGACCTGGGTGGGCCTTGATTCCTAAGAATTGGGGCCCATCAGGGCTAAAGGTCACAGAGGCCGTTTAGCCTGCTAACTCACACCGTTTCTTAGTACCTATGAGCCATGAACAAACGGTTGGGATTTTGACACTGAGGTTCTTGGCTTCTTAAAAATGCTGAGTCTCAAGGCTGAAGGTTCCAAGATCCGCACTGGGCTTGCAAGGATGCAGCTCTGTCTGCTACTCAGGTCCCGACATCCGCTCGCATCCGCTGCTCTCCGCCGGCCACTAGGTGCCTAGGAAATGACAGGGTGGCCGCCACCGTGAGCGCGGTCCCCACTGTGCGCCCTTGCCACACCTGGCTGTGAGATGAGTCTAGTGCGTGTGAAACACATATGGGATTTCAAAACGAGAGAGAGAGAAAAAAAACCAGGACACTATGGATCAATGTCGTCAGTAACGATTACACTTCGAACTACTATTTTGTTCACACTGGGTTAAATAAAATAGATTTTGAAAATAAATGTCACCTGTTTCTTTTGGCTCCTTTGGGGTGACTCCTAGAAACTCTGCATCACATATACACCTTTCCCAGCGTTGAGACTGTGCCAGGGTCACGGTGGACACGTAATTGGTTTGGCTGGATTTCCTTGCATTGCGATACGGAAGGACAGGCCGCAAGTGCGCGGGGTGGGGCGGGGCCCCGCACGGAAACCCGGGCCCCTCCGGCTGTGGCAGGCGTCCACGCAGCGGGCAAAGGCCCTCACCCCCAGCCCCGACTCCGGCGCGGGGTCTCGGGCGCGCGCCCAGCGTGGGGGGACCCTGGTTCCGGTGGATGGTGTGTGTGTTTTAGGGGCCGGGCCGGGCGGGGCCGAGCCGGGAAGCCGGCTGGTGCGTCAGCCTCACGCGCGCGGGGTAGGAAGCCGGCCCGAGGCCCGGGCGGCCGGCGCGGGCGCCGCGGCACGTCCGCAGGCTCCGCCGGGAGGTGGCGGCCGCTGAGAGGCGGGAGAGCCGAGGGCGGGCCAGGGAGGCGGCCCGGAGGTGGGGCGGCACCGGGGGGCCGGCCCGCGCGGGCTTCATCTGAGGGCGCGCGGCCTGCGCCCGGGTGCTGGCAACTGGGAGGCGCGGGCGAACGAGCTGCCGGAGCGGCTATGGGCCGCGGCTGGGGCTTCCTGATCGGCCTGCTGGGCGCCGTGGGGCTCTTGGGCGCCGGCCACGGCGGGCAGCAAGCCTCGGAGACGGCGGCGCAGAGGTGCTTCTGCCAGGTGAGGAGGTTTGGGAGTGTTGGTGCTGCTTGGCCCCGGCGCCCCGCGCTCTGTCCGGCGCGGCCCGGCAGGTGAGGGGTTGGAGTGCGTCTTTGCGTTTCCTCCTGCGGGAACGCGTGCCCTGTGCTCGTGCTCCGAGCCGGGGCTGTGTCCTTTGCCGCTCGCCTCGCCACCGCAGAGAGCACCGCTTCTCCTCCGGCGCTCCAGACCGGGCGAGGGGTGCGGGTGCCTAGGCTGGGACTTACTCAGTTGCCTTTTGCATCTTTGTGTTCCTGCCCCTTCCGAGGACGGTGTGTGCAGTGTGCACCGCGCTCTCACACGTTGGCTGTGAACACGTTGCTGGGGTCTTTCTGACTTGACCTGGGACTCATGGACCCTGTGGCTGGGCAGGTTTGCTGGCCCCAACAGCCTTTTGTAGGGGCGCTGCTGTTAGATGCGGTGGTAGTGAGGGATCGCCCTGTGCGTGTTGTGTCCAAGTCGGGACACCAAGATAGCTGAACTGAAGGGAAGGCGGTCCTTGCTTTTTCAATGCACACATTTGGTTAGTAGTTTACTATGAACATTTCCTGAGATGAGCAGCGATTATGGATTTTTCGAGCGAAACAATTCGAAGAAACTTACCATCATTACTGTGAAATTGACTTCAGTGAGGAATGGGGGAGACCCTCCGTTTTCCAGGAAACCCAGGAGTAGGCGTTCGGATGCCTTCTTTTCAGTGGATTTTATCACCAGTTTATGGTCAGTAAAGAAACGTTTGTGGGTGGAGAGGTTGGTACCTGTGGTGGAGAGAATCAGCTCCTTGAATGCTCCCAGGAGAGAGAGGTATCCTGTCTCTGATGGCCTGAGGTTCTGGGATTATGTTGTGCGAGTGCTTGGGGAGTGGAAGTGGGCGTCGACTGGGACTTGTCAGGGGCGTGGAAGGGAAATTATAGCTTTACCGCTAGCATTGAACAACTCTGTTAACCTCCAGGGATTGGGAATGGCGCGGCGTCAGGTGTTCCAGAGGCGAAAGGGTCGACAACCTAAAGCTTAAAGGTTAAAAAGTAAATAAGGGGCTTGCAAACCCGGTGTTTAGTACTGAAAGATAGGGTAACGTTTGAACTGTCTGGACATTGGGGCAGAGGGACACAAGTATAGGTTGAGCTCTTAAGTTGTCACCTTTTTAGAGATATGCTTAAAACTGGGAAGCTTTTAATTTTTAGCCTTTTTCTTCTCATTAGTGATTAAACTCCCCCTCCCCCCCCCTTTGCAGCATCCTCAGATTTAAATATTCTCCCAACCCATAAAAATCCGTTAGGCTCCTTACTTTTCCTTGTAGACCAAGAGGGGGGTTGTTATGTGTTTCATGGTCAGTATTTAAAAACAGAAAATTGGGACCTTAAGCTAAGAAATAATTTTTTTTTAAGTGAGTTTCTTTTTTTTTTTAAGATTTATTTATTTTTATTACAAAGTCAGATATACAGAGAAGAGGAGAGACAGAGAGGAAGATCTTCCATCCGATGATTCACTCCCCAAGTGAGCGCAACGGTCGGTGCTGTGCCCATCCGAAGCCAGGAACCTCTTCCAGGTCTCCCGCGCGGGTGCAGGGGCCCAAAGCTTTGGGCTGTCCTCGACTGCTTTCCCAGGCCACAAACAGGGATCTGGATGGGAAGTGGAGCTTCCGGGATTGGAACTGGCGCCCATATGGGATCCTGGCGCGTTGAAGGCGAGGACTTTAGCCACTAGGCCACGGCGTCAGGCCCACTAAGAACTAATTTTAAGAGCGATTAGTAATGCTGTACTGGCGGAAGATGTGTGTGTGGTACAGAGTGTTTCACAACAGGCCAGCAACGGTCACGTCCAGAGGGGAGGGCCTGGACTGGAGTCCTGCTTCCTTTGCTCAGCCCAGCTTCCTGCTCGCATGTGCCTTGGGAGGCCACAGGTGATGGTCCTGTGCTGGAGTGCTGTCACCCCTGTCCAGACCTAGACTGGGCTGTGGTGTCCTGGCTTCTCCCTGGGCAGGGGAAGGATACCCAAATCTGCTTTGCAAAATAACTAAATAAATAATAATTTAAAAAAAGGGTCTACAAAGATGATCAACATAATTAATAAATGAAACAAGTCAGGTGTCAGTTATGGTCAGTTTTACCAGAGACGAGGGTGAGGGGACAGGAGAGTGGGCATGTGGAGCAGAGACGAGCTTACAGACAGATGCACGGACAGACACCTGTGACTGGAAGGTGCAGAGGAGGCTGCACCGGCATGTAGCAGGCTCATCCTCCACCTGCAGCACTGCTAGTTCGTGTGCTGGAAGTCTGCGTCTGGTCCAGCTCCCTGCTGGCAGGAGAGCATTTCCTTCTCACTGGGCAAGCAGTGAAGGCTGGCTCCAGGCTTTGGGCCCCTGCACTCAGGTAGAAGACCCAGAAGAAGCACCTGGCCTCTAAATTCAGACTGGCGCAGCCCTTTGGGGAGTGAGCCAGTTGATGGAAGATCTCCCTGAGTCTCTCTCTCTCTAACTCTTTCAAGTAGAATAAATACATCTTGGAAAAAACAAAAGCTCAGGATCACTGTGTACTCTGAGTGCTTGGGCCAGGGTAACCGGGTACACTTCTGCTGTGAGCCACTCACAGTTTGATGAATAATGTTCACTGGGGCTAGTGGAAGGCCCTGGCTCGAAGTTAACAAAACAAGCTGTTGCTAGAAAGTAAAGACTTAAGTTTTCTGCTGAGCAAAGTCTTCTCGGGTACTATTCAGAGCGTCCAAAGAGCCGCAAGAGTTTTGTCGATTCTGTTTTGTAAGTTGTCTTATCTTCGTTCTCTTCCTGTTTCCTGTCCCTCTTACCCCTCGCTACTGCTGTTGCCTCATCACACTGTGCTGGCTTATGCTAAGGCTTCAGCTCTGATTTGAGGCAGAGCAGCTTGTGGTTATTCAACTTTTGAAAGCCATTGACATTAACCCTGTAGGGCCATACAATTAATCGAATTAAGTTCAGCAAGCATTTGTTGGTGTCTACTCGGACAAGGCATGAGATGTTGGCAAGATGAATTACAGAATGGTTTTGATATTCCACGTTGCTGAGTCCGTTAACTGGAGAGATGACAGATAAGACATGGTGCTAGTAGGAATATCAAAAGTGTTTTTCTGCTTAGTGAGTCGAATGCATGTTTTTCTGGAATTGATCGTTTAAATGGGGTGACGGCTCCAGATATGTCTTTCAGCTTCGTTATTATATGTGTCTGTAAGTTGACATTCACATCCTACTAAAATCCCTTTTAATGTGTAAGTTCTTTTGATAATGTGTAATGTGACAGTGTGTAAATTCACTGTTAACTTGCTCAAAGTCAGTGACTTACTGGGGACTGATGTTGTAGCATGGCAACTTCAGCTGCCTCCAGCAATACTGGCGACCTGTGAGAGTACCCCAGAGTTTCAGCTGCTCCCATTCCCCATCCAGCCCCCCCCCCAAAATAAAATGGCTTTTCTGAAAGTAGGTTACTTTTAGAGTGTACTATAGATCGACTGCAAAATTGTATTTTAGCAGATTTAGCCTGTCATTTGTTCTGTGACCACAGATTTTAAACAGAATGTTAATTGCTAGCTAAAGTGACTGGGCCACTAGGGGACTGTTTGGTAATGTTGGGCGGGGATGGAAGTGGAGGATTAAAGTTCAAATCCAGGGATCTTTGGAGCAGGTTATGCTGGAGGGTTGTGTACCCATGGAGTGCCTGCTACATTCCAGGCTCTTCTCAAGAAAACATGTGTCATAATTTTTTCATTCTTGAAATAGTTTGATGGCAACTTAAGGTTTCAGTAAGATTAAGATTTCAAAGCAGGACTAGCTCTGGTGTCCTTGGAATGGTACCTGCCACGTATTGTAGCATCTTTGGTGTTTCCATTGGTAGAGTTGACCGGTACACTCGTCAGTGAGTGAACAATTTTCCTGTTTTTCATCCTCCATATCTGCTGGTTTTTATCCTTTTACCCAAGTCTTGCCCTCTGCTGGTGGACCAGTGTTTCATTCTCTCTGTATTTGAGCTAAGAAAGATCTGCAGATGAGATCTTACAATGCTTGCCTTCCTCTGTCTGTTTTATCTCACTTAACAACGTGAATATTGGGGCAAATGGCAGGCTCTCTCCTTCGATTTATTGATTTGAAAGATAGAGTTACAGAAGGGGAGAGAGAGAGAAACAGAGAAAGGCGGAGAGATCTTTAGTCGGCTGTTTCATTCCCTACTGGGCCAGAATGACTGGGCCCCTCCCTGCCAGGTTGACGCCAGGAGCCTGGAACTCTGTCTGGGTTCTTCCATGTGGGTGATGGGCTCAGTGATTAGGCCAATCTCTGCTGCTTTCTCCTGTGCATTAGCAGGCGCTGGATCAGAAGCAGAGTAGCTGGGTCTTAAATGGATGCACGTATGGGATGCCTCGGTCATACAGGTGGCAGCTTAACCCCATTGTACCACAATGATGTCCCAAGAACTCATTTTTTAAAGCTGAGTAATTTTTCTCTGTGTGCACATGTATAGCACAATTTCTTTATAAAACATTTTTATGGGCGTGGTGCAGTATTCTAGCAGCTAAAGTTCTTGCATTTACGTGCCAGGATCCCATATGGGCACCGGTTCTAATCCTGGTAACTCCACTTCCCAATCAGTGCCCTGCTTGTGGCCTGGGAAAGCAATCAAGGATGGCCTAAAGCCTTGGGACCCTGCACCCATGTGGAAGACCTGAAAGAAGCTTCTGGCCTCAGATGGGCTCAGCTCTGGCCATTGTGGCTACTTGGGGAGTGAATCATCGGACGGAAGATCTTCCTCTCTCCTCCTTTGAGTATATCTGACTTTGCAATAAAAATAAATCTTTTTTTTTTTTTTAAAGATTTATTTTTATTATTTTTTTTTCATTGGAAAGGCGGATATACAGAGAGGAGAGACAGAGAGGAAGATCCTCCGTCCGATGATTCACTCCCCAAGTGAGCGCAACGGGTCGATGCTATGCCGATCCGAAGCCAGGAGCCTCTTCTGGGT